TGGAAACTTACCTTCTGAGTAAGAGTTTCGTCCCTATTTTGCTCTGTTGTAGAGGGGGAAGATTGCGTTAAAACAGGAGCCAATGGATGTGTGCCTTCACCACTCTGAAAAATATAACAGCACTTAAACTTAGGAATACAAGGCAAACGTTTCGGAACTGCTTCCCAAACCATCAAAATACTTATTTAAAACAAGGAATCTTACCTTCTGAGCAATATTTTCGTCACTAACTGGTTCTATTGTACGGGGGGAAGATTGATTCAGCACAGTAGGAGCAAAAGGTTTTGTGCCTCCACCACTCTGGAAATATCATAGCACGTACGTAGTTTAGAAAAACAAAATACTAAATTAACACAATTTTTCGGAAGACCTTCCCAAGCGTTTTGGAATCTGACCTTCTGAGTGACATCTTCATCACTGATTGGCTCTGTGGTAGTAAGGGACTGTATCAGCTGAGTATCCCGTTTCTCCGAATTTGAATCTGCCAACTCTTTTTCACTTTGTCAAATGCATAACTTGGTCAGGTACATTTAATATATGTTTCGAGGAAAAACTTCCTTAGCTGATGAAAATGCAAAAGAAATCCAAATCTTATTACCTCAGCACTAAAAAAGATCTCCTGTGTTGGCACCTGTCCTGGATCTTCCTCAGCTTAATCCATCTGTATATTGGGGATCTCTTGTGTTGGTGTCCCTTCAGGTTTTGTTGGTTGAATATTTTCGGCTTGTGTTAGCGCCTGTCTTTGCTCTCCCTCAGATGCATGAGATTCAATCATCTCTATATTGAGAAGCTCTTGTGTGGCACCTTCACGAATCTCCTGTGTTGGTTGACTATCTTCAACTTGTGTATCATCCATGTTTTCGTCTTCAGTTGAGTCATCCTCTTCAGTTGAGTTTACATTGTCAGCTACAGCCGTTGCTGAACTCCCCATGTGCACATGTGTTCTCTGGTAACCACCTTCAGATTCCTTCAAATTAACTTGTTAAATCTCACATTCAAAGTCTGACATCTAGCTAAAAATCGAACATAACATTGACACAAATAGGGAAACTTACGGTAACTTCATCTTCCCAATCTATTCCCAGCTTCTCTTTTATCTTATGCAATCGATCAAAGATCCTAAGGTTACCTTCCTTAACCATTAGAATGATACTGTCCAGCTTTGCCATAATCATTGAATGCAAAGAAGATGGTATCTCTGCCCTCATATTAAAAGCCGAACTTGAAGCTGCGAAAGTCTCGGCATTATGAACCATGACAAAGTTCAATCCAATGGACTCTAGCGCATCAACTAGATCAAGTTTTTTATTTGCCCAATCTCCTAAGCTCAGGGAGTAGCCTCTTGTAAGAACTTCATCAAGTTCTTCAAGGTCAGGATCATCTTTGTCTTCCATGCAGACTGTGTCCTCAGCATCACCTGATATAACAGGCAATTTGAAGATCACCTTCATCTGTAGACACAAATGGGAAACATGTTAAAGATATCCAGAAGTTTACTACGATTTTTAGGAAGGCATCCTAAATCATTTTCGTTTCCCCATGTATCATTAAGGAAGGCATCCTAAATCTATGTATCATCTAGGAAGGCATCCTAAATCATTTTCGTTTCCCCATGTATCGTTTAGGAAGGCATCCTAAATCATTTTCGTTTCCCCATGTATCATTTAGGAAGGCATCCTAAATCTTTGTATCATCTAGGAAGGCATCTAAATCTATGTATCATCTAGGAAGGCGTCCTAAATCATGATAACATAAGCAAATCACGAAGGCATCCTAAATCATGTTAACATAAGAGACGAAATACTTACATCAGGTGATCCTTCTATGGTGAGAACTTGGTTTATTGAAGGAGATGTTGTGTAAAGGTACTTCTCACATCAGAAGGCAGATGACGAAATACTGTTGCTGACTGTTGAGAAGGCAGTCTGTAGCATAGGGACCGACTCTAGTAACCACAAGTGGAAGGCAAAAGGGTAACCCTGAAGAACATACTTCACTTTATCCAAATGCGAAGGCACCCTTGACTTGATTGATGACAAAAGCAACTCATACGCTTCCCTTCCCCAATGATAGTTCATCAGAGTGTTCATGTCTTGCGCTCTCTCTATGAAACTTCTCGGAAACTTGTACTCCTTGTATCTCCCAAAGAGCAGAGACTCTATCAGCACCAACATCCCTAAGGAAAATTTCTCATCAAAAGCATCTTTTTCAGCTCTGAGCATCTTATTGATCGGGTTTTCAGTTGAATGAGACTCTGTCTTCAAATCATCCCAATCATAGACACTTGCTTATGGAGCAGCTTGAGGAGTCCAAATGGAACACTTCAATCCAGTGACCATATGAAACTCTCTTATTGAGAATCTCAAAGGATGCTATCCAAAGTGGAACTAGAGCTTATTGTTCTTCTTCGTTATTAAACTCCTTGTCAGGAAAACATGGATCATTTTCTCTGACATTAGCATCTTCTTTGAGCTCAATTTCAGGAGAGGCCCCAGAAAAGAATTCCTGATCCTGTTAAACTGCACTTCCCCCAGTATATCTTCGACTTGCTCAATGAATGATTTTTTCGAGTGTTGGTCTATGGCCTTAAAATTCTTCCTAGGCTCTTTCCCAATTTCGTAATGCAACTTCGGGAGTGCTATCAACGTAGAAGGCTGTGAATCCTCCATGTTGTTCCTAACACGCCATAGACAACAAGTAAAGAACAATTTTCGTCATCAAATTCAAGACTTCGGACACAAACATTGCAGAATCTCTCAAATCTATGTTGTTTGTCAAATAAGTATCGATTTCATGATGACCTTCCTAATCTATTAGTTAAGCATCCCAAATTTTTTGGAATTTTGTTTTCTCCTATGATGTAATCGAAATAATCAAAACAGCGAGTTGGAAATTTGTATCCCAGTTCGAGAAGCAGATTAAATCGAAACATCAAAACTGTGATGAATTTAAAATTAGCATACACAATGACCCAAAAACTTTGATACCTGTGGGTTTGGGAAGAAAGTCGTCGCACGAAGAGAGAAACTGTTGAGGTTTTCCGTTTATCGTCGCGAAGAGAGAACCAGTTTTGGGTTAATCGTCGAAAAAGGTGTAAAATTTGTGTGAATCCTCGCGAAGAGAGTCATCGCCGTTCTCCACGGCTTTAAGAGAACTGTGTGCGTTTTTCTGTTAATCGCCGAGAGAGAGAAAATTCGTGTTTTTGTGCGAGGAAGGGTTCCTAGATTCCTAAATGTAAACACTTTGCTTGGCGCAGATATAAATAAATAAGATCTTATGGATTGACAACTATCTTTCACGTACTTAGCGGTTAAATCATCAATTGTCAATTGACGAGGTAAACGGTTCGATTCCCCGTGTCGTAACCTATTTTGATTTCATTTTTTGTTTTTGTTTTTGTTTTTAGGATTCCTTTCCGACAACAGCCTAAACGATTCCTAAATCATTTTGTTAAATTAACTTGTTTCTTCATCTAACGTCCATAGATAATAAAAACAATAGTCTTTTTACTAAACATATAATGTCATAAGTTTTAGTTTTAGATCCGGGAAAAGAAAAAACATCAATCATGTTCAAAATGCAAACTAAAACTACTAACAATAGTCTCCTAGTTCATACTTTTTGTTCACAAACTGCCTAAAGATATCGCTTACATAATTGGTCTTCATGTCCGCAACACTCATATGAGCCACCTTTGAGAAGTCATGCCCCTCCCGATGATTGACACTCGATCATCTTGACGACATACACAGGACAATCAGTCACCCGTAAACCTATTGTGGACAGGGATAACTCTTCTTCAATGTGATGGACGACTTTGAATGGTTCCAGATGTCTCTTTGGCTTTTTGTTCTCAGCAATGCCGAGGAGGGTAGGTATCATATCTGCGACAATTATGAATAAGTGTTCAATAACAGGAATCATGTGTTAAGGACACCCCGCCCAACTCTGACTATGTTTTCCCGAATCATCTCACATATAGTTAAAGAGGAAAAGTGTACCTGCTATCCTCTTAACAATATTCAAGACTACTCCTTTCTTCTCCCATTGACTATTGCACGAGAAACTCTCCACTTAACAGCTCTTAAAATTAATTTCCAATCTAATCCAGTGGGGAACCATGGATTTAATGACTCCATAGACGACATCTACATCTTTCTTCCACTTCTTGTACGGGAAAACTGTTCCTTTTACAATGTTTGTAACACTATCAGAGAATTGTAATTTGGTTCGATACCTCTTGAATTTGTCGTGGCATTGTAACAGCTTATAAAAGAAGTCTGTTTTGCAGAATGCAGCTTTAGGGAATTTGTCGTTATTGAAGTATGCGACATGTTCCTCTCTTTTCTTTTGCAACATCATCAACACTGCATTTCTTTCCTGCAAGAACATGGAGACAGAGTAACCAAGAATGTTCTGCCGCCAATCCGAGAAAGAAGAATACAAGTATTCCATGACTACAAGTTAAACTCATTTTGACTACTTTCTTCTTACCGTATCACCAAAACGAGATCCGGGATCCTCAATACCCCGGAACAAGTTTGCAGTAGCATTCATATCACCAATTCTGTGTTTTTATTAGATATCATCAAGACATTTACGTTACAAAACAATTATATAACAACAACTCGTTATGTTTTTGATATATTCTAACCTTGCTGTCTCTCCCTTCTCCAACCACTCTTATAGGCTGTCAACTGTTCCATTTTCGGTGATTGAAATGGATCGACTGTAGCTGTTCATTGTTCGGCCACCTGTGTGCTCTTCCCTTTAGACTTTTCTGACTTCTCCTCACCCTTCTTCTTCTTCTTATTAGCCGGAAGATCATCTTAATTATAGGCTCTCTTCTTTGTCTTTTTCTGCTTTGCATCATACAAAAGTTTAACAAATGATGATAAATCGCTGGGACCATTTAATAAAAGTTTTAGGAAAACCTTCCTTATAGTAGTAAAGAAACCAGAAATCTTACAGTTTTTAGCTCCTTTATTTGGGTCTTATTTTCACTCATCTGAAAAAGGCATGAAATGTTTTTTCACCAAGCGCAATAGAAAATGTTTTCTTTCTTACTCCATCGTTTCCATCATCTTTTTCTGATACGGTGTAAGCACTTATGACACTTCGGATTATCTGGAAACAATAGTTGTATACATATGTAAGAAGAAAAAAGGAAGCATATTTCGTTAGACCATACAAACGAAAAACAAAAACCGTAAAACTATACCTCGTCTGGAGAATCCTCCTTACGTTCCTTCAACAAAAACCAAAAACAACTAGTTAGTTGGTTTGGAAATTATGTTTCTACAATAATAGGAATGACGCAAAATGATATTAATACCTCATCATTTACGTTTGCCTGATCACGCATTTGCTCTGAAATGTTTTCAACTCTGATGGGCGAAGCAGACGTCTCTGCATTTTCCTGCAGTGTAATTATAAATAAGGTAAAAATTTTGGAATTGTTCTAGAGAATACAAGGTATTGCCACAGTATGAATGATGTACCTGTATATCTACATCCACAGGAGGATCCCACGCCTCGTCCACCCATTCTCTATGAATCCTTACGTCACTAATTTGGAACGTAAGGTTTTTCTCGGCATGATGAAGGTGGATAGAAACTTCTTGACCATCGAGAAGCACTTGAACATAACCTCTGCACCAGTGGTCATCGTGGTAGGCATCAATGTCTTGCGTGAGTGTTAAAACATCAGTGGAATGTTCTGCCTCAGGCAGAGGAGGCGGTGTAGGACGGATCCGCATCTCTTGGACATTCTTATACTTACCAAGGCTCAAGAACTTCAAATAATAGCTGCGGATAAGACCTAGACCTGGCTGTCTATTTATCAACGAAGCAGGAAACCACTTGTTATCTTCATCCGATACCTCGACTAAAGCACCTTCCGTCAAGTAAGGTTTAGGACTCGTGCCTGTAATCCCCTTTGAAGGAGCAGCTTTACTAGCGACAAGTCCGCAAACTATCTGGGAAACCAACATTTGTGTTAGGAACGCTTAACAAGAGGTTAAGGAAAACCTTCCTAAAATATGCTAAAGAAACTTGTAATCTAACATTTTGTTTCGTTCCCTCAATTTTGTCCATTTTTTTTGGTCTGGTGCCTGTAACTGCTTTAGTGGAATTAGCCACAGGCGGGGTATGTACCCGGAACTCCAAAATTTTGTGTTAGGAACATTTAGCATAGATTCAGGAACACATTCCAAAAATATTTGAACTCAAGGGAAACAAGAGAGAATCTAACAATTTGTTGCTCCAGTGGTATGGACGCCTTATTCTTTCCCATCTGTGTCTGGGGCACCCGCTGTGATTTGCGTCTCTCTTGCTCTAGTGGTATGGACACCTTATCCTTTCCCATCTGTGTCTGGGGCACCCGCTGTGATTTGCCTTTCTCTTCTGCCACATTTTTGTTCATCTGCAAAACAACACACAATAACGTCAACACCACACATTTTTTCTCAAGTATAATTTTGGAAGAATTCCTAATTCATTGGAAGGCTTTCATAAAACGCAATCTGGATATCTAATTTTTGTGTATCTAGGTATAATCCAGTATCTCGTCTGGATAATAAATCCATACCGGATCTAGTGAATCATTTCGTCGCGAACCAGTGACGTCTAAACCTGTTCGTACGTCCACATGAGTAAGCTCCTTCAACGAAAAACCAATAATAGCCTGCTGTTAGAATATTTATTAAAAAACAAGCTCTAATAAACATATATATTTTTTTCTATACCTCATCAATAGAATCGGAAGGAACATATATTCCCAGCTTTTGTTCAATCTTTGATAATCGAGAACGGATATGTGTCTGTCCATCTACGAACATCTTGATGAGCTTGTTAATCTTCGCCTCTACTGATTCGTCGGAAGAAGAAGGTCTAGAGTTTTGTCTCGCTCTTTCTGAATGGGGATAGCGATATAACTGAGATGCAATGTAATGCAATGCATTGTCTCTCTTCAAAACCCCTATTCTCCAGTGTTCATGCGTCAGCTCGAAACCTTTGTCCAACAGATCCACAAGTGAATGCAGATCTTCATCGTTTTTGTCTTGCAAAACACAGTGTCTTCGAGGTCACCATGTATTTTTGGAAGGATGTGTACCACACTCACCTGCAAAGTAAAAAAAGACATGTCATTCATCGTTGTTTTGTTAGGAAAGCCTTCCTAAACACCATCCTAGATAATCGGAGTAGTAAAGGAAGGCACTTACATCGCTTTCGCCTTCTATGCTCAGAACAGCTTTGATGGGAGGAGATGTTGTGTGAAGATATTTCACACACAAAAAGCTGTGGGCGGGACTGTGTTGTCAATTGTAGAGAAAGCCGACTGCAGCTTGGGTACGGATTCCAAGATCCATAGGTGAAGCGCAACAGGGAACCTGTCCAGAAGGTACTTGGCCTTTTCTAGACTGTTCTCCACAGTCTTCTTCACTAATTTTAACAGCATTTCGCAAGCAGCTATCCCCAATGATGATTTAACAATACATCCATGTGTTGCGCTTTCTGTAAATTAATTGTTGGGAACATAGCCTTCGAATACCTATGAAGAAAAATTGTCTCGATGAGCAGCAGCATAGCCAGAGAAAACCTCTCATCATGAGCATCTTCTTCCGCTTCGATCATGAGTGCTATCAGCTCGTCAGGTGAATGCCCATCCTCCAATCCAGCCCAATCATAGTTGTTTGCCTCTTCTTCAACAGCAGGCAACCATTCTGTGCATTTCAGCCCCGTGACCATATGGAACTCTCTTAAAGAGAATCTCATAGGATGTCCACGAAAATGAAACCAGAGCTCCTTGTCTTTCTTGGTTATCAGGCTCTTGGTCATAATTGTGTGGATCATCTTCCCTGTCATAGAGAGATTCCTTGAACAGAACTGCAAAACCGAACCCAAGAAAGAATCCTCGATTCTCTTAAACTGCTCAGGCCCGAGTATCTCCTTCACCTTGGCGATGTACTTGAAGTACGAGTACTAGTATATGGCCTTGAACCCACTCATTGGTTCCTTCCCCATCTTGTATTTGAGTTTAGGAAGTGTGATGTCCATTTTCAACTGCTACAAGAAAAGAGACGAAGAATGTCACAATAGAAACGAAAAGTGTCACAATAGAAACAAAAAAAATGTCACAATTTGAATCTTAGGACGACCTTTCATAAGTCGAAATTGAAGGTTCCCTCTACACAAATCTATAAACAAACCCCACAATAGAATCTAAAGCCTATCCTAAATCATTCAAAAAGTGGTAAATCATGATCGAAAGAGATCAATTTTTGTGAGTCGTCGAGCTGAGAGAAGTTTTTTGGGCAGGAGTTTCTTACTGAATCTTAGTTTTCACCTTCTCTGTCACCGATGTCTTCTTCGCCGATGCACCACCGCTTGAAAATCTGGGATTTTACTGGAAATCACCGTCGCCGCTGTAAATTAGGTTTTTATCTGGAAATCACCTTCGATGTCGCCCATGAGGAAAGGTTCCCAAAAGTAAATAATTGTTATAATCTTGTTAATATATAAATATAAAACTTCAATACGTTGGATAACTACAGCGATTCAGCCAGAGCGGTTAGTGCTTATTCAAATAAACAGGCGTGTCTCCAGTTCGATACTAACATGGAGTCCAATTTTGCCTTAATTGTTTTTCGCTTTATAGTTTAGGAAATCTTTCCGAAAATGTTCGATTAGATTCCTAAATAACATTATTCTTGGAATATAGGACTACAGTCCTAAACTTTTAAAATTTTTAAAAGGAATACCAAAACAATTTTTGAATATTCATTCAGGAAGCCTTCACAGAATCATTTTCTCTTTCTAAGTTTTATTGAGGAAGCCTTCCTAAATTATTTTCTCTTTCCCAAGTTCATTTAGGAAGGCTTCCTAAACCATTTTCTTTTTTGAATATTCATTTAGGAAGGCGTCTTAAATCATTTTCACTTTCCCAACTTCATTTAGGAAGACTTCCTAAACCATTTTCTTTTTTTGAATATTCATTTAGGAAGGCTTTCTAAATCATTTTCTCTTTCTCAAGTTCATTTAGGAAGGCTTCCTAAACCTTTTTTCTTTTACCCTAGTTATAATTTACAAACCATGAAATTACATAACTATGCTTTGTCATGAAAATCAATTTTCGCAATGAATGAAAGTTAAGGTCAGTACTAAGTACAACTGATTCCAAAAAACATAAGGTCAAAACGCATATATTTATCAGTGTAAGGTCATTTCCCTTTGACCTAAATTGTTCATGTTTCGGAGTCCCCTCCGAAATAAGTACAACTGATTCCTAAACCAAAAGCGACATTGTTTAAAAACCAAAGATACATACTCTGTATTCAAATCCATGTTTGCAAACGAACACATCCAAAAACACCGTAAAAACCGATAACCATTCTATCAAATGGCAACTAACACCAACAACATAATTCATTCTATTTTTGTTCAGAATTTGAATATCACATATCTGTTTGTTTGAACCTTTTGCTCCTTCTTAGAGATGCTTTCTCTAGGTCTTCATTCTGCTCTTTCTTCGCTTTCTATTTCTTCGCTTTTTCCTTCTTTCCTTTCTCCTCGGATTTCGCCTTCTCCACTTTCTCCTTCTTTGGTTTCACAGTTGATAAGAAGACAGGTTTTTGTAAAAATGGGGCATGTGAAAGTTTTTCACTAATTATACTCAAAACAAATTGGTGAAAAATAGTTCTAGGAAAGAATTTTTAGCTTCGCAATGTTTTCTACTGTGGTGCGCGAAGCAGACGTCTTTGCGTTTTCCTGCAATATTCAAATAACTTAGTTAAACTTTTTGTATTGTTTTAAACAATACAGGAGTTTATCACAGTAAAAACGATGTACCTGGATATCCACATCCACAGGAGGATCCCACACCTCGTTCTCCCATTGTCTAAAAATCCTCAAGTCCTTAACGTCGACCAAATATGTATCATGAAGGTGGACAGAAACCTCTATACCCTCGGTAAGCGCTTCCACAGACCCTCTGCACCAGTGGTCATCGTTGTAAACCTCAATGAGTTGCCCGAGCTCTAAAAAGTCGCCGACACGTTCTTCCTGAAGCAGATGAGGTGGTGTAGGACGGATCTGCATCTCTTGGACATTCTCATACTTATCAATGCTCAAGTACCTCAGATAATAGCTGCGGATAAGCCCTAGACATGGCTGTCTTTTTATCAAAGAAGCAGGGAACCACTTGTTATCTTCACCCGATACTTCGACTAAAGCATCTTCCGTCAAGCAAGTTTTGGGACTCTTGCCAGTAATCCCCTCTGCAAGAGCAGCGCTAGGAGCGACAAGTGCGGAAACCACCTGGACATCCAACATTTTGTGTTAGGAACAATTAACAGATGTTCAGGAAAACCTAACTAAAATATCAAAACGCAAAAAAAAATCCTGATTTTCTTACTGTAGTTTGATCCTTTTTTTTGGCTCGCATCGTCATTGTCCAGCTCTGTGTGTTCAGTGGCTGCAACCGTCTCCATGGATGTAGCCACAGGCGGGGTTTGTATCTGGACGTCCAACATTTTGTGTTAGGAACAAATAACAGATGTTCAGGAAGACCTTACTAAAATATCAAAATGCAAAAAATCTTGATTTTCTTACTGTAGATTGATCATTTTTTTGGCTCCCATCATCATTATCCATCTTTGTGGGTTCAGTGCCTGCAACCATCTCCGTAAATGTAGCCACAGGCAGTGTTAGGAACGTTTAACAGATGTTCAGGAAGACCTTACAAAAAAATAAAATTCAAAAGAAACAATAATAGCTAACAGTTTGTTGCTCCTCCAGTGGTTGGGTCCCCTTATCCTTTTCCATCTGTGTTTGGGGTATCTCCTGTTCTTTGCCTGTAATCCCCTCTGCAGGAGCAGCGCTAGGAGCAATAAGTGCGGAAACCACCTGGACGTCCAACATTTTGTGTTAGGAACAATTAACATATGTTCAGGAAAACCTTACTAAAATATCAAAACGCAAAAAAAATTATGATTTTCTTATTGTAGTTTGATCCTTTTTTTTGGCTCCCTTCATTATTGTCCAGCTCTGTGGATGTAGCCACAGGCGGGGTTTATTCCTGGAAGCCCATCATTTTGTGTTAGCAACGTCTAACAGATGTTCAGAAAGACCTTACTAAAATATTAAAATCCAAAAGAAACAAGAATAGCTAACAGTTTCTTGCTCCTCCAGTGGTTGGGTTCCCTTATCCTTTCCCATCTGTGTTTGGGGTATCTCCTGTTCTTTGCTACTCTCAGCTGTCTCATCATCATTTGTTTTTCTAATTATCTGGAAACAAATTTGTAAACAATAATTTGAGCAAGTGATATAAATGTAGTAGAATAAATTTTGGCGAATAAAGGCACACCTCATCTGTTGAATCATTTCCCGCTGTTTTGTGCGCCTCAGTCTGTGTTTCTTTGGTTGTTTCAACCACACCACTTCTATTGACAGTCTTTGTTCTTGAAGGTCCTACCTCCATTGTGTCTATACCAATTTCACCGTGCGCAGGAGTCAAGACTTCAGCATCTCCGTCATCAGATATATCCTCCTTCAACCAAAAACATATAACAGCTAGATGTTTGAATATTTATTAATGAACAATCTCTAATAAATATATATATATATATATATATATATATATATATATATTTGCAATACCTCATCAATGGAATTTGAAGGATCATATATGCCAAGCTTTTGCTTGATCTTTGACAATCGAGAACGGATATGTCTCTGTCCATCTTCGAATATCTGCATGAGCTGGTCAAGCTTCGCTACTACTGACTAGTCTGAAGAAGAAAGTCTGGAGTTTTGTCTCGCTCTTTCTGAATTGGGATAGCGATATGACTGCGATGCAATGTATTGCAATGAATTGTCTCTCTTCGCAATCTTTCTTTTCCAGTGATCATGTGTCAGCTTGAAACCTTTGTCCAACAGATCCACAAGCGAATGCAGATCTTCATCGTCTTTGTCTTGCAAAAACACGGGTGTCTTCGAGGTCACCATGTATTTTTGGAAGGATATGCACGGCATCTAACTGCACAGTCAAAAGAACACACGTCATTCAGCGATGTTTGTCAGTAAAGCCTTCCTAATGACACACCTTCCGAAAACTGCGAAACACCATCCTAAATAATCAGAGAAGTAAAGGAAGGCACTTACATCGCTTTTGCCTTCTATGATCAAAACAGCTTTGATGGGAGGAGATGTTGTGTGAAGGTATTTCACACACAAAAAAGCTGTGGGTGGGACTGTGTTGCCAATCATAGAGAAAGCCGACTGCAGCTTGGGTACAGATTCCAAGATCCATAGGTGAAGCGCAACAGGGAACCCGTCCAGAGGGTACTTGGCCCTTTCTAGACTGTTCTCCACAGTCTTCTTCACTGATTTTAACAGCATTTCGTAGGCATCTATCCCCAAATGATGATTCAGCAGTACATTCATGTGTTGCGCTTTCTGTAATTAGATGTTGGGAATATAGCCTTCGAATACCTATGAAGAAAAATTGTCTCGATGAGCAGCAGCATAGCCAAAGAAAACCTCTCATCATGAGCATATTCTCCGGCTTCGATCATGAGTTCTGTTAGCTCCTCAAGTGAATGCCCATCCTCCAATCCAGCCCACTCATAGTTGTTTGCCTCTTCCTCAACAGCAGGCAACCATTCTTTGCATTTCAGCCCTGTAACCATATGGAATTCTCTTATAGAGAATCTCATAGGATGTCCACCAAAATGAAACCACAGCTCCTTGTCTTTCTTGGTTTCCAGGCTCTTGGTCAGAATGGTGTGGATCGTCTTCCCTGACATAGAGAGATTCCTTGAACAGAACTGCAAAACTGGACCCAAGAAAGAATCCCCGATTCTCTTAAACTGCTCAGGGTCGAGTATCTCCTTCACTTTGGCGATGTACTTGAAGTCTGAATGCTTGTCTATGGCCTTGAATCCATTCAATGGTTCCTTCCCCATCTCGTATATGAGTTTAGGAAGTGTGATGTCCATTTTCAACTGCTAAAAGAAAAGAGACGAAAAAATGTCAGTGATTGTAAGACATAATTAAACGAAAATCACACGAAAACCAAATTTAACAACACAATTTTTGAGAGTTGACAAATAACACTTAGAAGGTGCTACTAGATCTCGATTCAAACCAATAAAGAAGAGCCAAACACAGAATTTTTTGGAAGGTGTTTCCTAAACTCAAATCTTAAAATTATAAAGATGAGCCATAAACCAACATTATAGTTTTTTGAAATTTGAATCTTAGGACGACCCTTCATAAGTTAAAATTGAAGTTTACCCTACACAAATCTATAAACCAACCCCTCAATAAGTTAAAATTGAAGTTGAAACTAAAGCCTATCCTAAATCTCTAAAAAAATCAGCGACGATTTTTATGAGTCTTCGAGATGATAGAAGTTTTCGGGCAGGAGTTTCTTACTGAATCTTAGTTGTCGTGTTCTCTGTCGCCTTCTTTGTCGCCGATGTCTTCTTCGCCGTTGACGGTAGTTCATGAAAGAAATTAGATTTTAGGGTTTCGTCTTCAATTCGCTTGGAAACCGAACGGTGGGGAGCGAAATGGCGGAACTGAATCGTGTTGAGCAGTTTTCTCAACTTTAAAACGATTTATTTGTATTTATATGCATAAACAGGAAATTACTTACAGTTATCTAACCAAATAATTCGGCCATAGTGGTTTGAGCTTCACTACGGAATAGATGAGGTCATCGGTTCGATAACCACAAATTCTTGTTTGGTCTTATTTGTTTTATTTATTTATTTAGGAAGCACTTCCGAAACAATTGAAAATGATTCCTAAAACAGTTGTAAATTTTCCTCGACGACCTCCTTCACCGATTTCAATTCATAAACATGTCAATTCACTCATAAACATTTTAATTCACTCATAAACATTTCAATTACCGCCTTTCGCTTGTACGATTTCAATTCATAAACATTTCAATCGTAGATTTTCCTCGACGACCTCCTTCTCTGTCGTATCGTATCCAAACACAATTGTGTTCGACGGCGAGAGGCCGCCGTTATCTCCGTTAATCGAGCCTGTAGTCCGAATCCAGATCCTTTGCCGAAATAAGTCTGCAATCTCAATCTATCCCTAATTCATTGTAAATTAGAGGTAAGTCTTCAACGGCGGCGAAGCTTTGCCGCCGTTGTCTTCTGCGGCATCTTCGTCATTAGAAGAGACGTTGTCTTCTACGGCGACATCGTCATCCGATGAGTCGAGAGCTAGGGTTCTTAAATTTCTTAGATTATTAAATAGGGATAATATCGGAAGTTCTTTACTAAATATGTTAAGAGGTGGAAGTTTGTTAACACGATGTATAATTATGTCCACAAAACCTAAAAAAAAGTGTATTACTAAGAATTGTCCATATAAAAATAAATCACAACACATAAATATAGGAGAAATTCCTCAAAATAACATGGAAATTAGTTTTTTTTTTGTAAAATAACAGACACAATGTAAATTTACATTTATAACATCTTTTATTATTAAATAAGTTTTGAGCCCTCAGTTTAGTAAAAAAAACTTATTATTTCAAATATTTTGTCTCTTCTCCTTCCTTTTGTATCATTGTAATCTATCTTTTTCATGAAACCATACTCTAAAAGCTCCATTTTCTCTGCATACTTTAATCCCTAACTTCCGTCGCCAGATTTTTTATCCTTATCATCAGACTAGTGTTTAACTTTTATCTTCAACTTGAGATTTCTCAAATTTGTGTAAAATGTTTTCTCCTCCTTCTCCTCTGCTGATTTTTGGTTTTATGGATTTCGATTCTGATTTGGTTGTGGCGTAGTGATATATCATTGTTTTTATGATTTTTAACCATGGTATAAGTCTTTTTTATTGAGTCTTTTAGGTTTTTTTAGTGTCCTAGTAGAGTCTTTGCAGGTTATAGCATGACTGGAGCACAACTGGAGGTTTTAGAGCTTTTTGGAGCATTGCAAGATTCAACCACGAAGTTAGCAACTTAGAAGGCATCGATTGGCATTGGTGATGATCGTCACCACTCAAGGGTGACGCTCGTCACCCGCATCTGAAGAGGAGTCATGGCTTAAATTAAAAGATGGAGATAAAATTGCACTTTTGGCCCAGAAGTTTTACTATTTGCAAGAAGACCCCTGCTCGTGTTTTAGCTTGTATATATTAGGTTTTCAGCCATTGTTGGATTTTATCTTAGATTTTAGAATTCAGAGAGCTTGAGAGAGAGATTTATTCAGAGCTTTTGGAGAGACAGAGCCTGTACTCTTTTAGAGAAGATTTCGAACCCCTTTATCTTTTACTTTATTCTTTCTATGCAGTTTTATTCAGTTATGTTTTGTGTCTTCATAATCATGTCTTCATAATCTGTTAGTTAAGTTAGGGCTGTTCAAAGGTTGATGAAGAGTTTATAGAATTGTTAAACTGTTAGAAAATCCATTGGTTCTTCATCTATACTTGCATTCACATCGATTTCTGAGAACATTGTTAGATTTCGAAATCCTAGGCTGTTTAATAGATGTGAGAACATTGTTAATCACCTGAACTAGTATTAGATGAGAAAAAATCCTATTTGCAAAGAGATTTGACTTAGAAGTTTTGTGAACAATTGAACCTGATCATTACTGCATTTTTAGATTGTCAGAATTTGCAGAGAGATTTGGAATTCTGTCATTTAGGCATATATAACTTCTGCAATGAGAATTAATTAGTTATATCTTTGTGTTTCAAGTTCTAGACGGTTTTAATTCATTCCTGATTGCATGCATTCGACATTCTCGGATTCAACCTACGAATTGTCCTGACTTAGCGCCTTTAGTCTTCTGAAACTTAGATCAATTAACAGAATCGCCTGATTTCATTACATTATTTACTGCTTAGCTTAATCCGAATCTAAAATCGCTAGTGTAGTAAGCTCACTCCCTCTGGATTCGATAACCTTTTATGCTACAACTGATTTGCTGTGCACTTGCAGTAGTTAATTGATTGGGTAAAACCTGAGCCCTATCAAGTTTTTGGCGTCGTTTCCGGGGAGTAATAGCTGCCTATCGATTTTTAGTATTAGGATTTTGTATAAGTTTTAAATTTTTTACTGACTTTTACTACTTTTCTTTGTGCTGGTTTCAGGTGTATGCCTAATCGCAATACCAGAAGCAACAAAGAGAAGGAGCTTTTGACTTTGGGCATTGCCGAACTAGCTAAGTTGGAAAGGACCATCAGGAAAGCTAAGAAGCAATCTACAATGGTCAATCCGCTGATCTTGGTTGAAGATGCAGAAGGTCACTTTGTTGACAGAGATAGAAACATGAGGAATGAAGAAGGGCAGAGACTGGATCAGATTGGGAATGGCATAGTTGAACAGGTGGTTCAAAGTGGCGAATGAGGCTGGAGTTGCTGCTGCTGGGAACTCTGCTGGGCGTTTTGTTCAGAGGACTCTAGGAGCTTACAATAGACCTGATCAGTTTTATGCCAACAGAGCTGCAATCCGCCCTCCTGCATTCAAGAGGAATGATTTTGAGCTCAAGCCTGCTTATTATCAGCTGGTGGGTCAGCATCCTTTCCATGGCTTACCACATGAGCATCCTATGGATCACATTGAGAGGTTTGAGGATTTGGCTTCAAGTGTCAAGGCTAATAGAGTTAGCAATGACTTCATGTTATGCAAGCTGTTTCCTTACTCTCTTGGCGGAGATGCTGCTTATTGGTTGAAGCAACTAGAGCCTCATTCGCTGACCACTTGGGAAGATACCAAAAACGCCTTTCTTAATAATTTCTATGACGATGCAAGGTCAGAAGAGCCGAGGACGAAAATTTCTTCATTCTCCCAAGGACCTTTTTTAAGGCTTCCTAGTTGAGATTTAAATCCTATCACAGAGACTGTCCTCATCATGGCTTCACTCAGGTGCAGCTGCTTGGAATTTTCTTCAGAGGATTGGATTGGAAGTATCATATGGCGTTGGATGCTTGATATCTCTTGTATTTACATCATTTAAGCCTGCATTTAGTGCATGTTTTGGTTCTCTTTTGCATGTTTTCCTTATCCTTTGTCCCATTTTCTTCTCCTTTTAGACTTAGGTTGCATTTAGGGAGTAGTTTGCATTTTCTTTGCATAAAAGATGTTTACAGGTACTCATTGAGCTACAAGGAGCATGGGAGATGATGGTGGGTGTAGCACAAGACATGAAAAGAGCCAAGAAGAAGGTGCACCTTGTTGAAGCGGCCAGAAACTTCACCTGACAAAACTGGCTCAGACAAAGCATCTCCAACACGATTAAGATTCAACAGTATTCACCAATGTTGTCGCCCCGTGAGTTAGCTTGCGTCTGGAGTTGGTTTCAGGTCATTCCCATCAGTGGTTAGAAAGTTACAGAAGTTTTCGTGAAACCGCTCAATCCCTATCGGTCTGTGCACGAAGGCTATCGGTCAATGAGTGACCGATACCAGATTTTTGGTCACCAGCATCGATCAGAAGTGATCGACATAAACCCAGCGGATGAATTTCGGTCACCAGCATCAATCAGAAGTGATCGACATAAACTCAGCGGATAAATTTCGGTCACCAGCATCGATCACTCTCCTGACCGATGGGATTCATATTGACTGAAGATCAGCTCAGATGAGGTGTTTTCATTCCGATTTGGCTTCGGCGTCCTTTATCAACTTTGTCGCCACTTGAGTTATCTTCCGTTTGGTCTTAGTTTCGAGTCATTCCCATCAGTGGTTGAAGAGTTACGACGAATAAAGTGAGCACATGTCCATCTGGAGTTTTTGCCGTTGATCTTGACCGAATTAAAGATCAGCTCGGACGAGTAGCCTCCGTCTCTATTCAGCATCTTCACCCTTCATGAAAGTTGTAGCCACGTGAGTTAGATTTCGGGAGGACTTGGTTTCAGGTCATTATGATATGCCGTTCAACAGATATCGCAATTTTCGTGAAACCGCTCAACCTGCATCGACCAGCAGAAGCAGACCGATGAGATTTTACATCGATCACAAATGACCGATGTAAACCCAGACTGAAGACCATTTATTTACAATTTTGCCATTTTCGCTTAGACTCCTATAAATACTTGAAATCCCTAATTTCTGGGGAGACATCTCTTTATCCAACAGTCTCTTCTTCTTTGTTTTATGTTTTTGATTTGGTAACTTGAATCTTTGTTTATTTCAATTAAAGTTTGCATTTCTCTTAATATTTTGTCTTCCTAATCATGATTAACTATCTTTTCTTCATA